TTCAACAAGAGGAACGAGGCTCGGCCCAGTTCCGGGTTAAATAATTTAATTTGGCTGCAAAATGGCCAACGGGCATAGGTAACGACCACGCGGCGTATGAGCAACGCGCAGTTTTATTTAACGCCCGCCTAACCGGAAGCCGGGACCTCGTTTGGCTCGTCGTGTAACAAGGCAGTGGCAGGTGGAGCAGGAGGCGGCGCAGTAGAAGTAGAGGAACAGCACCTGGAATGCCGAGGCGTAGTAGGTCTACATGGGGTCGCACCTGGTATGTACAGATGGGATCGCTGCTGTTGCTGTTGCTGTTGCTGTCGCTGTCGCTGTTGCAGGTGCAGGCGACGCATATTTCATGGCACTAATGTAGCCAGTCATAAAATCACAATGCGTTGCAGCGTGGGCGTGGCAACATGCATGTGAACATTCAGCTGTGAAATGCCGAGCCAAGCGCCGGGGGAATGCGAACTTGTTAAAAAAAAAAAAAAAAAAAAAAAATACAGACGAACGAGTTAAGGCAGAGGCAAGAAAAAAACTATTTCATATTTAGCAAGCTGCAAACAAAACACCCTTAAAAATATTGCAGACAAAATAATAATTGCAAAAATAAAGTTGCAATAGAATTAAGGACGTTATGTATAGGAAGCGAGCTTGCCGATATAGAAGTTAAATATTTTGCAAAAATATCTCTAATACAATATATAATAATAGAGAAATACTTAAATTATTGTTGGGTAACTACAACATGTTTAAGAATAATTATATGCATTACACAGTTATAAAAAAAAAATAAAAATAAAAAAAAAAAAAAACAATTTATAATTCATAATTTTCAAAAATACATGCAAAAATATTTTTTTATAACAAATAAAGAAAAGTATGTAGTAGGCCTTTTATTTAATTTCTTTATTTCTTAATTTCTTGATATACACACGTCTGCTATTGTTCACATTCAAGCTTAAATTGTATCGATCCTCCTCTTTCTATTACTCAAAATGGCATGTTGCATATCGACAGCCTCCTCAGCCACCGATATGGTTAACTATCGATAGATATGTATCTCTCGATGGTTAACCATAATGCTGTTAACTTAAATCTAATATAACATAGGCTAGTAACCAGCTACAGTATACATAGGCTAGTAGCCTGCTACAAGTATGAGTATGAAAATGAATATAGTAAAAATTCTAAACGATAAACAGTTAAATAAAATCTAAAACAGAAAAATATATAAAATATATATATTTCATATTTTTATTTCTCTATAACACTTATAACATATACGTATAAAAAAAATGTATATATAAAAAAAAAAAAATATATATATATATATGTATATATTTCAAATGAAATTAAACACAAAAATAAAAATAAATATATATGTATATTTATAAAGACCACCTATATAAATAATTTTTTAACTACACTCGTTTTAACATAACTGCATTAAATCAAAGTAATATAAATATGAATATAATATAATATAATATAATGTCAGAAAGCATCTCAAATATAGCTTTTTATGATTTCTTATATATTTTATAATTCAGGAATTTCTATACAACTCAAATCCCCCGAATATTTTATGCACTTAGGCAGAATTTGCATCCCATTCTCGATTTAAAAATAAAACAATTTCCTATGACCTTCAATTTGCATCCCATTCTCGATTTAAAAATTAAGCAATTTCCTATGACCTTCATTTTCTTTCTGGCTGTTGTACCTATTGCGAGACCTCTTCAAAGGAAAGGCACATGGCCATATATACATATGTATATGTATATCTATATACTATTTTATATATGACATCTATATCGGAATTGTAGATGTACACAAATTGAAACAGCTTGGAAGCAGGCCGGCACTTGAGCTCTAGCAAAAAAGGTGTCAAAATCGTGATACCTTCAGTGGGGACGCGCATAAATAAAATAGCAAAAGGAAATTTAATAAAAATATATAAAAACCGGATGAAAAATGAAAAATTGCGCTGGGAACTTCATGGCGAATGTCAGCAAGTTTTTCCTCTTTTTCTTTTTTTTTTTTTTCCTGCAGCTCTTGCCTTGTGGCTGGGGAACTGTGGGGGCCTCGATGGGTGTGCGGCAGCAACACCCAGCAGCGTGAAACTGCATGGCTGGCTGGGCATGAAAATGCCGAAGAGGGCTGCCAAATGAGCAGCACGCAGGGCAGCTAAAGGGGAAGGGGAAGGGGAAGGGGAACGAGCGGGCATCTACGACCAGTTGGGCAGCATGTGTTGAAATGCAAAACGGAACATTTTTTGCTTACTTTTTTTTAGCCGGTGTGCGTGTGTGAGTGTGTGTGTGTGAGTGTGTGTGTGTGAGTGTGCCCAGCTGACAAGCGTTGCTCATTAAATTTTATTTTATAATTACACACACCAACACACATGCACACACACATGGGCGGGCTTTAATGTGCTGGCTGCCTCGTAATTGGGTCCGGGAGAGCGCTACGTGTTTAGGCGCCCGATTTTAGAGGCGGACTTTGAACATTTTTGTGCGGAATTTGTGGGACAACAACGACAGCAGCAACAACAATACCAACAACAACAATGGGCATTTAAGCATTTGGTCAGTCGACGATTAAACTAAAGTGTTTCAAAGTTAATTGCCAATGAAATAACAACAACAACAGCAACAATAATAGCAATAGCTAAGACCTGTTAGCCTTACGCTTGACTAACCAGCCAAGTGGCCAACAGCAACGCCAACAACAACACCAACAACAGCTACTAGTGCCTAAAACCGATTTCCAAACGAACAACAACTAACGGCTCAGCATGCAGTTAGACCAAATAGCCCAATGAACAGTGGTTCAATCGAACTAAGAAAACTATTAGCAATTTAATAAAATATGAAGTAAATATACCTTTAAAAATGTTACATTTTTATACTCATTCACGAAAGTGAATCAGTATATTGGTTTTGTGCAATGTCCGTCTTGCTGTCCGTCTGTCCGTATGAACGCAATCTATTTCGGCGCTATTGAAGCTAGAGACTTGAAATTTGGAACACATACTCGTGTATATCTCCGATTTATAAAGTGTTAAAATTTTCCCGATCCGCCCACTAGGGGCGTGGCAAATCGGAAAATGCATTTTCCGATATACCAGAAATCATGTTTGTTGAAGAGCTAGAAAGCTGAAATTTGGTATGTAGGTCCGCGTTGACCACCCAAGATCACGAGCTATGGCGGATATATCTACGCCCATTGAGGGCGTGGCAAATCGGATAAAACTGTATCTCCTAAAGTTGTAAACCTAGAATGCTGAAATTTTGCAGGTCAGCTAATGGTATGATTCTATAAAGTCTGAAGATAAATTATAAGTCTACGCCCATTGGGGGCGTGGCAAATCGGACCTGAAGATATAGTGATTTTTTAAATTCTCCTATATTTTGGACACTATTGATGGCAGAGACCTCAAATTTTGTATATATACTCGGACTGATCACCCAAGACCAAAAAGTTTTGTCGGATATATGTCCGCCCACAGGGGGCGTGGCAAACCGCGAAAGTTTATATCTCCTAAAGTATAATAGCTAGAAGCTTCAAAGTTGAGTTACTGGTAGCCTCCTCTATAGATTCCCTAAAAATAATTTTTACGCCTCTTTAGGGGCGTGGCATATCGAAAAATACCCTGTAATTTTCACATTTTTTGAGGGTAAGCATTCAAACTTTGCAGCTAGGGTACCGTTATCTCTTTCTAAAAACTGACCAAAAATGAGGTGTCTACGCCCAGTTGGGGCGTGGCAAATCGGAAAAACCTGTATATTCTACAGTATTAGAGCGAAACTTAACTACTAAATTGTTGATGGGATGTGAATGAGTATTCCGCAGTCGGTAACGCCCGACTGCAACGTTCTTACTTGTTTTATTTTAATTGGTTGACTAAAATAGTGAAATTACTTAAGAGCAAAGCAAAAATCAGTATCCAATTGTAGGAATACAAATTTATAGATGCAGTAATTATTATTGAATTATCAAGGCAATTGAAATAATTTGAAATTGAAAAAAAAAATGGAATCAAGGAAATTATTATTATTATTATTTTATTTTATTTCTTTTTTATTTCATTTATTTTCTAACATGGAAGAATATCCACATTATCTACATATTTATATTGTATATTAAAAAATTATATTTTTTATATATTTTTTAGTTTATAATCTCATATTTTAAAATACAATATATGTAAGAAAATTTTTTTTCTTTTGTATTTATTATTCATTCCGAAAATTGATAATCAATTTCCGGAACTATATTATTTATTTACTTCTAATATTTGTATACAAATATTATAATTTAATGAGCTTATTTGACAAAATAAATAAATAAATAAATAAATAAAAAAAATAATTAAAATACATAAAATAAAGTATTACTCTTTAAGTATATCGGAAAAAATAGTTTGTATTAAAAAAAAAAAAACACACCTTTCATATTTCGAAGATATTTTTTTTAATAAGCTTAAATAAAACCCCTCTTTTTCTCATTTTAACTACTTTATTCAAATATATTTTTTGACACACTGAGTCAAATATTGCCCGTAATATAATGAAATAATTTTCAACAACATCTACTTTGATTTTTGATCACATCATCACAGACCTTCGCCCACTGTGCTGTTGTACGTTGGTTTGGGCCAATGCACTGGAACAATGTAATAGGCAAGAGCTGGCCATTTGCTAGTTGTTGCGGCTGTTATACCCCAAATTGGTATTATTTAAAAATGTCGATGGGTCACGCTTCTCGTCAATGGGCCCGGCCCGAATGTCCTGGCACTAGCCATGGTCGTAGTTGCCGCAGTCGTGTAATTGAAAATGGTTATTGGCAAGTTAATGGCCCATTCAAGCCACGAACCGAGCTTGGCTCCTTAATTGACTATTTGTATGCTAGCCAACCCCCTTGGGGTCTTGGCCCCATGCAGTTAACCCACTTTGGCCCCCACTCACTCACTCTCTCTCTCTCTCTCTCTCGCTCGCTGACTCTTGCAGATTATCCACGCGTGGAGGTGGGGCCGCAGAACCCGCTGCGCATCGAGCGCGATCACATTGCCAAGCTGGACTGCCGCGTGGACGCCAAGCCGATAGTATCGAATGTGCGCTGGTCACGCAACGGGCAGTATGTGAGCGCCACGCCCAGTCATACGATCTATCGCGTGAGCCGGCATCACGCCGGCAAGTACACGTGCAGCGCGGACAACGGACTGGGCAAGACGGGCGAGAAGGATATCATACTGGACGTGCTCTATCCGCCGGTGGTCACCATCGAGTCGAAGACCCACGAGGCCGAGGAGGGCGAAACTGTGCTGATCCGCTGCAACGTGACCGCCAATCCGCCGCCCATTGCCATCGAGTGGCTGAAGGAGGGCGCCACAGACTTCCGCTACGCTGGCGAGCTGCTGACCCTGGTCTCGGTGCGGGCGGAGCACGCGGGCAACTACATCTGCCGCTCGGTGAATCTGATGCAGCCCTTCGGCTCGAAGCGCGTCGAGGGCGTGGGCAACTCCACGGTGGCGCTGCTGGTGCGCCATCGGCCCGGCCAGGCCTACATAACGCCCAACAAGCCGGTGGTGCACGTGGGCAACGGCGTGACGCTCAGCTGCTCGGCCAATCCGCCGGGCTGGCCGGTGCCGCAGTACCGCTGGTTCCGCGACGTCGACGGCGAGGCGGGCAACACCCAGAAGATACTGGCCCAGGGGCCGCAGTACTCGATACCCAAAGCCCATCTGGGCAGCGAGGGGCGCTACCACTGCCACGCCGTGAACGAGCTGGGCATTGGCAAGATCGCCACCATCACGCTGGAGGTGCACCAGCCGCCGCAGTTCCTGGCCAAGCTGCAGCAGCACATGACGCGGCGGGTGGGCGACGTCGACTATGCGGTGACGTGCAGCGCCAAGGGCAAGCCGAAGCCGGAGATACGCTGGATCAAGGACGGCACCGAGATATTCCCCGCCCGCCGGCTCTACGAGATACGCACCACGCCCACCGATGCCGGCGGCGGCGTGGTGAACGTGCAGAGCGTGCTGCGGTTCCGCGGCAAGGCGCGACCCAACGGCAATCAGCTGCTGCCCGGGGATCGCGGCCTCTTCACCTGCCTCTACGAGAACGACGTGAACTCGGCCAACTCGTCGATGCACCTGCGCATCGAGCACGAGCCCATCGTCCTGCATCCGTACAACAAAGTCGCCTACGACTTGCGCGAGTCGGCGGAGGTCGTCTGCAAGGTGCAGGCGTACCCCAAACCCGAGTTCCAGTGGAAGTTCGGCAACAATCCCTCGCCGCTGACCATGTCCTCCGATGGCCACTACGAGATCAGCACCCGCATGGAGAGCAACGACATATACACGACCATCCTGCGCATCGCCCACCTGCAGCACTCGGACTACGGCGAGTACACCTGCCGCGCCACCAATTCCCTCAACACGATCCGCACCCAGATCCGGCTGCAGCCGAAGGGTCCGCCGGAGAAGCCGACGGCCCTCAAGGTGCTGGAGGTGGCCCACAACTACGCCGTGCTCAGCTGGCAGCCGGGCTTCAATGGCGGCCTATCGAACACGAAGTACTTGGTCAACTATCGGCGCGTCGCCACGCCCCGTGAGCAGCTGCTCTCGGACTGCTCGGGCAACGGGTACGCGGCCAGCTACCAGGTGAGCAGCTCGACTGCCGCACAGTCGGGCGCCCACGAGTCCATCGAGTTCAACTGCTTCCACGAGAATCCGTGCAAGCTGGCGCCGCTGGATCAGCACCAGAGCTACATGTTCAAGGTGTACGCCCTCAACTCGAAGGGCACGTCCGGCTACTCGAATGAGGTGCTCGCCACCACCAAGGTGAGCAAGATTCCGCCCCCGCTGCACGTCAGCTACGACCCCAACTCCCACGTGCTGGGCATCAACGTGGCCGCCACGTGCCTCTCCCTGATCGCCGTCGTCGAGTCCCTGGTCACACGGGATGCCACCGTGCCCATGTGGGAGATTGTCGAGACGCTCACTCTGCTGCCCTCGGGCAGCGAGACGACCTTCAAGGAGGCGGTCATCAACCAGATCGCACGCACCGCTCACTACACCACGGCCACCACGTCCGGACGCAGCCTGGGTCCGGGCAACGGCCACCACGGCGAGGATCGCACCATGGCACTGGCGGAGACTGCGGGCCCGGGTCCGGTGGTGCGGGTCAAGCTCTGCCTGCTGGCCAATCACGAGCATTGCGGTGCCTATGCCAATGCGGAAAGTAAGTATTTTGCACTAGTTCAAAGCGAGAACACTCAAATGAACTGGAGCTAGTTGGGCGTAGTTGCATATCAGATTTACAAAAAATCTTGCTGAAAGAATTTTCTTAACATGCTATATACTAAGTCAGCTTTTAAAGTACATTGGATTTCGAGACAAAATTGCTTCTTGGGTTTAGTAAAATAAGTTCGGAACTAGTTCACTTCGGAACTAGTTCACATACCAAATCAATCTATTAAAGTTCTTATTAATTTAATGCCAAGTGACTAAAACATTTCAGTTAAGAAAGTAGTTTTTGGAACTAGTTCATTTATTCAAATTTCAAAAACCCATGAAATGGAAATGAACTTAACTTAGAATGTCTCTGCTCATACTATTGTATTTGATATAGGGCACCACAAAGCGGAATCAGTTCTTTTTTCATCAATAAATTGCATAGGAGATATTTATAGAAATAATGTCAAGAACTACTTCTGTGAACTAATTTCACCAATAATATACTAAATACAATTTAAGAGATATGAAAAATGAAGTCACTCTAAGGAACTAGTTCCTACTTACTTGACATATAGTAATCGCTTAAGCAAATCGACAGCTGCTCTAAGAAACTAGTTCATACCATACCAACCCAACATGGCATATAGCAATCCCCGAAGCAAATAGATACTTAAATCCCTACTGCCTATGCTCAGCTTAAAGAGACCTAAACCCGAACTAGTTCTTTTCACTCGAAACAGCCTGCATACCAAACAGAAGCATAATAAATCTTAATCTCTATCCACTCTCTCACCCCCCTCCCACCCCTCTCGCTCTCTATCGTTGCAGTTGGTAAATCGTACATGCCGCACAGCTCCTCGCTGACCACCTCCACTTGGGTAGCCATCGTCATAGCTGGACTGTCGTTTGTGCTGCTGCTGGCGCTGCTGTACGCTTTCTGTCGCTGCCGGCGCACGCATGCGGCCAAGAAGCAGGCGGCGGCCTCTGCGGCCACAGCCACGCCCAGCAGTGGTGCCAAGGACTACGATGTGGATGCCACATGCGGCACTCTGGTGGCCGCAACTGGAGACACGCAACAGCAGGCGCCGCCGCCTCCTCCGCCCTACTATCCGACTGGGAGCCTGGACAGCAAGCAGCTGGATGGTGGCATGGAGCTAACATTAACAGCTCTCCACGATCCCGACGAGCAGCTAAACATGCAGCAAGGAGAGATGCACACGCAGCAGCAGCAGCAGCAACAGCAGCAGCAGCAATATCAAACGCAATCCAAATGCCAACAACAAGGACTCTACCAGCAGCAACAGCAACAGCAGCAGCAGCAGCATACGAATGGCTATGGATATCATGTGGCAAGTGGCATTGGCATCGATGGCGACAGCTATCAAGTGCTGCCCTCCTCCGTCGCTGGACACCATGGCGAGTGTAAGTAGGCAGCTGGGCGTGGCGTGGCCGTGTGGGTCCGGCACGATGGCTTCTTCATTAAGCGTCGCAATTTCCTTCTCTCATTTTTTTTTCGAGGGTTCTCGCAGATTTATGGCGGCCATTTTGACGCCTCTTTGGGTCGGCGGGATGGCAGATGCAGGCCGGAGCGTAATTGCATTTCATGTCAATCTAGCAGATTCCGCTACCTGCTCCTCCCGCTCTCCCACTCGCCCACTCGCCCACTCCCTCGCATCATGCAAATGTCGTTGCATAAGCAGCAGGCAATGCAAATTCCTTGGCAACCAAATGACATCCATCTGGCGACTATCCGATTCACTGTGTCCACTCAGTGTCCAACATCCAGCAGCATCCAGCATCCGCTCTGTTCGCTGCATTTCGGCGTAATTCCAATTAAGTGAGAATTAAGCCGTTGGCCGTTTCTTTTGTGCTCTTAATTGGCTTTAAGCCGCCTCCTTCACATTTTGTGCGATTGCAACTCATAAAACTGTCCTTCGACAAAGTCGCCGACACTCAAGTGCCTGTCACTTGAGCCAACTCCGACTTCAGCTCCAACTCCGACTCCAGCTCCGGCTCCAGCGACAATTAAAAGACCGAAATAAAACTAGCGACAAACAACACTTGGCCAGCAAGCGCACTCAAATGAGCTGAAGCCCGAGCGAACTGCAAATCTTAAAGCTTAAACAACTTACAAGTGACAGCTACTAACTAGACTCCCCCTCTCTCCCCACTCCATCCACTTGTATATAAAATAAAAATTAATGAAATTGAAAATGGAAAAAGAGAACGAGAACGAGACAAAGCTGAAAATAATCTGACAAAGAGCTGGGCATAAGCCAGAATTCAAGCTATTTGACAAGAGTTGCTCAGAAAGCAACTAAAAGATTAAAGATTTAAGCTTTGATAGAAGCAAAGCACTTAAGCTGCGTTTAATTTGAGCCAAGTTAGTAAGACGTAAGCGCTTAGACTAGCCAACTTTTAAGAGCTAACAATATGCTAGCTGGCATCATTAAAAATATATTAGTCATTAGGGGGAAGTGCGGAAAGTAGGTTAGGATTTTTAAATGACAATACATAATAACTGTGGGGTGGGAGTAGAAAATACCAAAAGTTAGTTTATCCAAGCTAGAGACAAGTAGTTCACAGACTTGATGATGAGGGAAAATTTTGTATATACATTTTATATTTTATTTGAATCATAGGAAAACTTTAAAATTTCACAAAATTATTATCACCTAATTGATTTCAATCTGGCTGACAATAATTATAAATAAAATTCACGTAAAATGTGTAGTTTATTATATTTTCCATTAATCATTTCTATACGACATTTAATTTGATAATTAATTTAATCATATTAATATTAATTATTATTTTTAATTAAATATTCTTTTTCTTTATTTATTATTTTGATCATCATTTTTCTACATTTTTTTATATATCAACAACTATAAATTTCTTTACACACATTATTTTAGGAAAATTATAAATTACAGAAAATAATTTTTTTAAACATTTAATTTAATTAAATTAAACACTCGTATGAACCACAAATTTTTAAAATTTAAACAGTTCTACGAGTATAAAGGAATTATGATATATGTTCATATCAACTTAAGCATAGGATTATTATTTAGTTTTATATGCACCAATATTTTTATAGAAATTTTAAAACTTAATTTTATCATCAAAAGTAATTAAATATGTTAATTTTTATTCAAATTTTTATATTTTGTTCCTTATATGCCCCAATTTCCGAGCTTCGTTCAACCTACCCATTTATATAGTCCTCACCAAAGCCATAACAACTTTTAAAGTCAAACCAAAGCAGTTTAATTATAATCAACGTCTGAGAATCTTCGCTCTAATGAACTGTCTCGTCTTGGAGTGCCCCACATTTCTTGCCATCCCATTCACATTCATATGTAAACCTCAATTCGAATCTAGCTCTTGTATGGAATCTCATATTTCTTACAATTTCTCAACAAGTGTTTCACATGAATGCGTAATTTTCCTTTTCGCCATGAAAGTGCCGTTAAACGGCAACCGCACGAAGGTCACAGTTGGCCAAATGCAACGTGCTTAAAGGCCTTAAATAGTTTTTAATTATATTCCGAGTGCATAATGCCTTTCTAACTAGACTAAATGCTTTTTGTATATATTTTTATAATTTTATTTCATTTCATTTCATTTTTTTTACCTCTCATATTATTTTCCATTTGCGTAGTTAGGCAGGCTCCTCCGAGACAGACATAACAGGTATGCGCCACAGAGTTTTTTGAAATGTGTATATGACGGTGTGTATGTGTGTGTGTGTGTGAGTTTGGCTCTAAGTGAAAGGCAACATGTTTGCAATACGTTGGACGAACTATAGAGCGCTCGCCCCGCCTCAGTTGCTAACAAATTTGACCAAAAAAAATGTGCACCACAGCATGCACTTTAATTGTGTGTGTGAGTCGAGTCTGTGTTTGTGTGTGTGTGGCCTGTTGAAGGTTTTTTCTTAAATGAAACACGGTATATGTAGGCGCAACACAAAAAGTTTATTTAACACAATATTCAGTAACAAGTACACTTCTTCACGTACCGCGACGATTTGAACTTAACTAACCGAGCCGACACACTGACATTGATCTTACACAATGAACTTACTGAATGAACTTTGGCTCGACTTACAGCTCGCTTATATACCTACTTCTACTGCATATCGAATGTTCTGGATGTCTCCTTATGCTTCTATGTTTGCGTCTATTTCATAATCCAGAACATTCGGTTTCTTATTCTAGAGACAAATGTGCGATCAGCCGACGACTGTGTTTACCGTTAGCTCAAATGCTCACTTGATGATGAGTTTTTCGAGATCAATCCTCAACACCCTCCCTAAAACTCAACATAACAAATTTGTCCCTTATTCCTCATTCCCAATTTCTCTCTTAGATACAAAAATCTGGGCTTTGGCAAAGCTTTAGTAAAAATGTCAGCGATCTGCTCTTCACTCTTTACATACCTTACATCTATCTCATCTTTCTCAAATAAATCGCGTACAAAATGATATTTAACATCTATATGTTTGCTTCGTTGATGAAATTCAGGATTTTTGATTAGCTTAATCGCACTTATATTATCTATAAACAAGATGTAGTTACTTAAATTAATGTTACAATCAAAAAACAATTTCTTTAGCCATATCATTTCCTTACTTGCTAGAGCTGCACTTACATATTCGGCTCCTGTTGTTGATAAAGCTACACATTGTTGTTTTTTACTTTGCCACGTTATTGCAGCATTCGCATATTTACACAAAATTCCAGATGTAGATTTCCGAGTTTTCTTATCACCTGCATAATCAGCATCACTATATGTCTCAAAAATATTATTAATTTTACTGTATAAAATTCCCAAATCCATCGTTCCTTTCAAATAACGAAATATTCTCTTAACTAACGTCCAGTGATGCTGCTTCGGGTTTTCTAGCTCTCGGGAAACTACATTAACAGAAAAACTTATATCTGGCCTTGAAACAACTTGTAAAAACATTAAATTTCCTACTGCTTCGCGGTAAGGTGCATTACAATTATTTTGTTCAGATACATTTTCATCAGACTTTAACGCTTCATTATAATTTAAAGGCAAGCTTTGTGTAATAAATGTAACAGGGCAACCATAAAAATCTGGCATACGAATCTGTGATCTATCTCGCAATCGCCGACCCATTTCACTATTATTATGTTCAGTTGATTCATCTTCAATTTTATTATTTTCGTATTCACTTTCATTAGTCTCACTTTCAGAATTGTCAACTAAAATTTCAGGTTTTTTAAACTGAGCTGTAAAGTTTTCTGGTTTAAAACATACATCTCTACTTATAATTACATCTCTCATATTTGGAACATATACACGATATCCTTTGCAATTTTCAACGTATCCTACTATAAATCCTTTAATAGACTTTTTATCTAATTTTCTCCTTTTTTCTTTTGGTACATGTACAAAACATTCAGTCCCGAAAATTTTAAGATTTCCGATATCTGGCTCTTTCTTGAACCACAACTCATATGGAGTTTTATTCCCATGTTTTGTTGGACCTGTGCGGTTAATTACATAAACTGCAGTGTTTACTGCTTCTGCCCATAGAAATAATGGTAACTCAGAATTAGAATGCAACATTGATCGTGCAGCTTCAATAATAGTTCTATTCTCACGTTCCGCAACTCCATTCTGTTCAGGTGTATAAGGAGCATTAACAATATGTTTTATTCCCTTCTTATTAAAGAACAATTTAACTTCTTTATTAATATATTCTCTACCCCCCATCGCTGTGAATTTCTTTAATGTTTTCATGAAATTGATTCTGAATTGCCTGAATAAAAATTTGGAGTTTTTCAAATACTTCTGACTTATGACGTATAAAATAAACTTCCCGATAACTTGAATAATCATCTTTAAAGCTAACAAAATACAACTTTTTACCAATAGACTCTACCTCTATCGGACCGCAAACATCAGTATGAATTATCTCTCGTGTCTTTGTTGCACGGTCAATATTTTTGTGAAATGTTAGCCGATGCTGCTTCCCATAAGCACATCCTTCACAAAAGAAATCATTTTCTAGAAAATCAATATTCTTATTTTTCAAATAATCGCGAACATGTCGAACGTTTTGATGACAAAACCTCTCGTGCCATACTTGTAAAGAATCACTTTCTTTCGATTCTATTTTTCTTGTTAAATTACACAATTTTGGCATCAAAACATTCACATCTAATTTTAATAAGTTTCCGAACCTAGAACCCGTTGCAATTATTTTATTATCACGTCTCAACAAACACTGTGTTCCTTTATTTTTAATAAGACAATCAACACCCCTTTTTGCAGCTGACATAATAGAAAATAAATTGTAAACTATTTCCGGAACATACAAAACATCAAACATTGTCGTCGCCCTTTTATTATTATTGACATAAATTTCAATATCAATATTACCTTTTCCGTGCGCCGTGATATATTTACCGTTACCTACGCCTATCCTCAGGGGCTCCAAAAATTCTTCATAAGTAGAATACCAATCTCGACGCCTTGACATGTGATCAGAAGCTCCTAAGTCGATCACCCACACGTCATCTTCTCTGCCGTCCCTGCTCGCAATCAATCCTTTCCTCGATGATTCACTCGATTCTCCTTGATTATTTTCCGCTTGACTTCCTGCATTTCTCCTTTGGTGACAGGTGTTGCTCTTGTGGCCTTTCTTCTTGCATATATAACACCTGTAGCAGTCCTTCTTCAGATGTCCCATCACGCCGCAGTTATAGCACTTCATAATTTTCTTCTTATTTTCATGTTCTCTTTTATTTTTTCCGTTGCCGGCAACTAACGCTGTTGACTCTTCAGGTACCACTTCTTGTTCTTTTGACCGCATTTCTTCTGTCATTAAACGAGTCGTCAAATTGTTCAATGTTCTTTTGCTGTCTTCGACCGAATCCCACGCACTATGAAAATAGTTAAACTTTTGAGGCAAAGATGACAGGATTCGCGACATTAACATTGTTTCAGGCACAGCACTTCCAAGATTTTTCATCTTGCTCCACAAAACTTCCAACTTTGAAATATTGTAGTCCACACTCTCACTTTCAATCCATTTGAAATCAAAAAACTGTTTCTGAATAGCCGATAAATTTTCTTCTGATTTCATATCATACACTGAGTTCAATTTTATCCACATTTCTCTTGCTGTTTTGCAGCTTACAATCAATTCCATCGGTCTTCTCTCGATAGAATGAATAATTATTTTCCTTGCAGTCTTATCAGCTTTCAAGAACCTTTTCGAGTTTCTCTCGTATGTTGCAGACTCGTGTGTCGGACACGTCAAACTACCTTCACAAACGGCAAGAACATCGTCGTCTTCTTCCAATAGCGTACGAATCATAAAACACCACAAATGCCAATTGTCTTTGTCGCGTAATCGTTCAATTCTCATATTTAATGGCTCCATTTTCATTGTCTTTATTTAGTTACAAATTTGCCACTAATTCACTTTTGTACTTGCACTCGATTTCACACTACATTACACGTTTAGCACTGTCTGGGCCCATAACCTGTTGAAGGTTTTTTCTTAAATGAAACACGGTATATGTAGGCGCAACACAAAAAGTTTATTTAACACAATATTCAGTAACAAGTACACTTCTTCACGTACCGCGACGATTTGAACTTAACTAACCGAGCCGACACACTGACATTGATCTTACACAATGAACTTACTGAATGAACTTTGGCTCGACTTACAGCTCGCTTATATACCTACTTCTACTGCATATCGAATGTTCTGGATGTCTCCTTATGCTTCTATGTTTGCGTCTATTTCATAATCCAGAACATTCGGTTTCTTATTCTAGAGACAAATGTGCGATCAGCCGACGACTGTGTTTACCGTTAGCTCAAATGCTCACTTGATGATGAGTTTTTCGAGATCAATCCTCAACATGGCCTTTGGCTGCTTTCATTAGGAAGCCAACGTTTAGTCTCCTGCTGCTTCTTCTTGGTTTCATTTTTTTGGACAGCTTTTGAATTCGCGTTGCCAACGCCAACTTAATTACTATTTCTTTACCCACATCCTGCTGCATCGCCAACCAACCGGAAACAAAACGTCGTGTGATACACACCCACACACACACACACACCTCTGTCTCCCTCTCTCTTCTCTCGTCTATGTGTATGTGTGGTCCATGTGGTTGCAACCAAAGCAGGACCACTTGAGGCGACAACCGTTCCAGCAGCAGCAGCAGCAGCACGCGCCGGCAAACTAACGAAACAGCCCACCACCAACACCATCAGCACCACCATCCCCCCCACCAGCAACACCACCACCAACAACACCACCAACAACTCTAGCAACAACTCCACCTTGAAGCGTGGCCAGGTGAGGGGGCGGCAGCTGGTGCAGCAGGTGACCGCAGCTACGGCAGCTACCACCACGGCGCTGGCAACGACAATTACAACAACATCACGTAATGCCAAAACCGCAACAACAACAACGACGCTCGCCATCTCAGGTAAAGGCACAGGAAAATGTTGTGGGATTTAAGAGACGTGCAGCGTGCACCACCTACAGCACCACCAGCACCATCAGCACCACACTTGAACTTTGCACCGCAAAATGCACACACGACGCCAATAACTAACTGTATAAGAACTTGCACCAAGCAAAGCTTGCCGCTTGCCTCTTGCCTCTTGCCTCACGCCACTTGCCACACTTACAACGCACGCTTCAATCTTAATGCACCTATGCACCTATTGTTGCACGCCTACATCTTCATCTTCTTCTTCTACTCTCACCTGCCACACGCATACCTTTCATTTATCAACACTTTTATGCACCAAATACGTTTCATAATACTGCGCGGATGAGCCTAAAATACGCTCAGCATGATTTGTATGTAAATTTTGTAAGGGGACAGCTTGAGAAATTCAAATTTTCCTTTAAAGGAAAATTAAGGAGTGAATGCTGGGAGTATAGAAGACAGCTGAGCTGGGCTCAGTAGTTCCATTCAATAATATGAAATGTTCAGTCCATGAATATCATATATCATTTATTACCTTTCATTCTATTCACTATAAAATGCACAATAATTATATCTGAGCTGGTTTAAATCTCACTTGTCAATCAACGCTTCTACAATTACGCTCAAAAAACAATTCCCGCTGTTCTATTCGTCCATTGAAATTATAACGGCCGCGTCCGATCAGCCAAAGTCTAAGTAGCCATCTCGCTCGCACTCAGCAATACCCGCAAAAACACACAGCAACAGCTATCGTTGTCTCTCTCTCGCCTATGGAGTTGGCGTATGCAAGCCCAAGCTCATCAGGATATTATTTATTTACATACAAGCTCCCAGCTCAGTCACACACTAATACTAGTGCAGCAGCCAATCACAGCAAACTTGAGCAGAATTGGAAATGAGAGAAATGGCAACAACAAAATTGGATTTGGCTATTCGATCTTTTGATATATCATTAGCGATATTTAACGATATTTATTTAAATATATAATCTGTCGATTGTCCATCGACTTGTAAGCTTTTCATTAAGTGTCGATTTGCTTGACAGATGTACTCTCAGATCAAAATTACAGAAAAAAATAAAAAAAAAATTCAAAAAATAAAAAAAATTATTAAATACACACCAACGACTGAACACAATTCGGTCATAGGAAATTTAGTTTGGAATCTATACCTAAACCTTTTTAGCCACAATTTCTACACGCCGTTTTTGTAATGTTCTTGCTTAAGTCACCGCTCAATCGACTTGGGCTATTGACGCATCGGTTCATTACGTTTCAATATCGCAACCATTTCTTCAAATGGCCGCCAAAATCTGTGAAGAGTGCTCCGCGCTTGCAGGTGGCAAAGGCAACGGCACGCGATAAATCGGTGGAGACGAATCCAGTGAATCAGCCAACGCCGCTCGACGAGAATGAGCCAAAGCTGGCCAAAATGAAGGCGGTGCCGCCGCCCAGCTTCAATATCAAGGATCAACGCGACAAATGGCTGGCCAAGGTGTCGCCCCAATTGCAGCGCAGCAAACGCAAGGCCAACGCGCCAGCTGACGGGAGTGCTGCAAAACACGGTCACCCCGGATCGGGACCGGGGCCGGGGCCGGGGCCAGCGGTGCACTCGGCCATGCCCGCTCACCTGAATATGGATGGGAATGCCCAGAACTTTGGCATCCCCAAGCAATTTCAGCCGCCAGCCTGGCAGCAGCAGCAGATGCAGATGCAGCACCAGAAGAAGCAGCCGCAACAACAGCAGCAGCAGCCGCCCGGCGAGGACTCGGGCAAAGGGTCGGCGGACCGCAGCTCCTGGGTGAATCGCATGCACGGTGCACAGCAATCGAAGCAGGCCCAATGGCTGAAGGACATGAAGGCCAAGCAGCAGGCTGGATGCGATATACAGCAGCAGAAGCTGCAACAGATAAAGATACCCTTGCCGCAGAAGCCGCTCGGGACGAGCCCAGCAGCAGCTGTGGCGATGACTGCGGCCGCCGCTGCCGAGCCGAAGCCGGAGGAGCCACCAGAGCCAAAGACGCCGGAACGCATTGCCTACCTGGAGGCTGTCAAGGTGCTCAACAACTATCAGATACACGAGCCCACGGCCGGGCGTGCCCAGTCGAAGTCGAGCAGCCTCAGCGACAAGCTGGAGCCGAACATCGAGCATACGCTGCTCTGCCTCAGCCAGACGGGCTTCGAGCGCGAGCAGCTGGAGCGCATACCCGTGATCCAGGTGGCGGGCTCAAAGGGCCGCGGCTCCACCTGTCTGCTGGTGGAGGCCATTCTACGTGCTCACGGCGTCAGGACGGGCGTGCTCTGCGCCCCGCATCTCTTTCTGACCAACGAGCGCATACGCATCGACGGCGAGCCGCTGCCAGAGGAGCAGTTCACCCAGCTGTTTAACCAGCTGCACGAGAAACTGGCGGAGATGCAGCCGCCGCCCAGCTACACAAAGCTGCTGACTGTGATGGCATTCCATGCGTTTCGCAACGCCAACCTCGACGTGGCCATTGTCGAGGTGGGCAGCGGCTGTGCCAGCGACTGCACCAACATCACGGCGCATGCCCGCACCATCGGCATCAGCACCTTGGGCTGGGAGCAGAGCTTCAGCCTGAGCAACTCGATGCGGGACATCGCCTGGGCCAAGGCGGCCATCATAAAGCCGGAGGCGAGCGTCTACACCAGCGCCAGCCAAACGGAGTGCTGCGAGGTGCTCAGCCAGCGGGCCAAGCAGGTGGGCGTCCAGCTGCACCGCGTGCCCAACTACATCGACTACATGGAGGCGAACATGGCCTGCAAGAAGCTGTTGTCCGGCGCCAACTACACGGTCAAGCTGAACGGCTCGCTGGCCATCCAACTGGCCTACGACTATCTGCGCCGCCACAATCCCGAATATGTCGTGGGCCTGGAGCACAACAGCCTCCAGCTGACGCCGGGCGCCACACGCGGCCTGGAGATGTTCGAGCAGCGCGGCCAGTTCGAGGTGATGAAGTACGACATGTTCAATGTCTATCTGGACAGCGCGGACACTCTGGAGAGCATGATGATGTGCCGCGAGTGGTTCTATACGCGCACCCGCAGCAGTCGCTCGCCCAAGATTCTGCTGTTCAGCAAGGTGAACGAGTTCAATGCCAAAGATCTGCTGACCATCCTGAGGCACAATGTGCGGTTCGAGGAGGCCGGCTTTGTGCCGAGTCCGAATCGCTTTGAGGGCGAGGCGCTCGAGGAGCAGGAGGAGTGCCAGGATAAGGAGGCCCAGGACGCCATCAACTGGCACAGCATGGAGGAGCTGCAGCGCGCCCGGCGCAACGCCAGCAACTGGCGCTCCCTCTGCGAGGAGAACGGCACCAGGGACAACTCGCACATGTCCATCTCGATAGAGGCGTTCTTCGACCATCTGAAGGAGAAGTACGGCAAGCAGCGGTACGGTATGCGTAACGAGCTGGATGTCCTAGTGACTGGCTCCCGGGAGCTGGTCGCCGGCACCATACAACTGATCCAGAAACTGAAGAACAAAGATTTCGGCAAATGGCGCTAAGAGAACTCAAGTCAATGCAGATGCGAGCCACGCCCCCAAACGACAATTCAATCGGTTTTTGCTCTCGTTTCGTTCAAGTTACTCGATATATATATATGCATATATATGTATGTATGTCTGTATATGTGTATATGTATATGTATACGTGTGTATATGTCCATCTTACTGTGTATGTCACATAACTGATTTAAATTTCTAGTTACTGTTTCCCCCCTGAAAAAAACGTCCAATAAAATATATCACTCGCGCTTTAGTCTGATAAGGTCAACAGCAGCTTCACGTAAAATCAATCTGAGTGCAGATCCATTACGGCATATATCCTCAAGATAAACATACGCATATAAGTCAGTTGTCTAACAATAAATCACATATGTCATCACTTATGCTCCTGTTTTAATTTGTCTTTCTAATTTTATTTATTTTTTATTTTTATTTATTTATTTTTTTTTATTTATCATCAGAATAAATAGATATCAGCCACATTTTAAAATGTAACAAAAGTTAACTGAGCTGTATGTCATATATCTTTGTTATGTATGATGTATATATATATATTATATTCCTATATATATTTCTCATACTTATTTCACATACTGAATTATAAATTACTATCATTATCAAGCTAACTATCTTTCAACCTTTGTTTAATTATTTAATTAATTTTCCTGAAGATAAATATTATCTATACATATATCTTCTATTAGAACATCTCTAAACATATACAAATATTTTCCCACCAGACTCTAGTAATACTATTTTCTTACATTATCTGCCTGGTATGCTATGCAATATTCTCTCTATGCAATATATTTCTCATGCTCAATTTATCCTCACGATAAATATTTCTAAGTATTTAAAATGTCAGTACACACAAAATTGAAAATCACCTTAGTTAGTATTAAATATTTAAAATTTCTTGAATCTTCTACGTGCGTGTGTGTGTGTGTGTGTGTGTGTGTCGAGTGGGTCGAGTAATTTAATCCAATTGGGTTGTCCATCAACTTCAGTCTAAATTATGCAAAAACGTCGGGGGTATATCAAATGCAGATGGGCAAACGAAAAAGCGTAACCCAAGTCGGAGGCGTTGGTCCACTTGGACAGCTGCCTGGCTGCCTGGCTGGCTGGCTGGCTGATGAGCATGACGTGGCATCTTTTATATTTCCAATTAGCCATTGTGACTTTCACATTTCCAACTGCTCGACTCTACCTGACGCACACTTTAAATATATGTATAAAGAGAGAGAGATAGAGAGAGTGAGAGAAGGAGAGAGAGATGGAGAGAGAGTGAGGGATTTCCTTAGCTGCTGCAATAATTTGCCTTTTTTGCCTTTTTTGCAGGGTCGAACAACATGCCCGGAGGCAGCCAGGAGAACAACTATAGCAATGCGCGCGATTTGTCGCAGGAGGCGCTGTGGCGCCTCCAGCTGGCCGCCGCTCAGAGCCAACAGATCTACGTGGAGCAGCGACCGCCATCGGCGTTCAGCGGCCTGGTCGACTACGCCGGCTATCAACACATCAACACGGTGACCAGCTCGCTGAGCCAGCAGAGCTTCGGACAGCAGCAGCAGCAGCAGCAGCAGTCGGTCGGAGTGCAGCCGCTGACGCCGCATGAGATGCTGCAGGCAGCGCAGCGCTATGGAACGCTGCGGAAATCAAAGCAGCCGCCGCTGCCGCCGCAGCGCAAGGATCAACAGCAGCAGCAGCAGCAGCAGCAGCAGAAGCAGCAGCAGCAGCTGGGTGAGTGTTGACCGTTTGTCTTGTCAGATAAGCAGCTGAGATGAATGGCAAGGAAATCAGTTTGATTGATAATGCAACTAAGCGTTGCAAGTGGCAGCGGGACGGAGCAGGGGCTGGGGCTGGGACTGGGAATGGCAGCGCAAATTGTTGCACACTTATAAATAAAATAGATTTTGCATGTTCAGCTTGAGCTGGTAGCTTGGCAGCCACTAGGATGTGTACAATTTGCATCTGTATCCTTTTATGCATGAGCAGTAGCAGCAGCAGCAGCAGCAGCAGCAGCAGCAGGACTCGGGCACAGCTTGCGCGCAAGCACCAGAGACACAAACAAACACCCACACACACGCACACACGCACACTGTCGCACATATATAAACAGATAAATGCACATAAAATAGTCAGCTCTGGCTGCTCCTGCCGCTGTCCTCTTGTTCTCCCTCCTTCCCGCCAAGGGAACAAATCGCTTGCAGCGACAACTATTGCTGCCCCGCCTCAGACTAAACAAACGCAGTTGCTCCTCGTCCCTCGCGGCTGCTGCACTCTGTGCCGCGTCTTTAAGCGCCAACATGAAATAGAAGTACAGAAATAACTGCAGAAAGGAAGCAAGTGCACTGGGCTATATCGGGTATACGCAACTAGAAGTTATCCTAAGAGAATTCGACTTGCACATGGGACACAAATATACATACATGCAATAAAAGTGCTTATACTTCATATGCATCTATGATATTTAAGCATATTCATGTTTATCGATAAAAAAAAAATCGATAAAGGGACGATATATGCTAAGCGAGCAACAACTTTAAAAATATCAAATGTTTTATTTCAGATATTATGATCAGATATTAAAAATATCTTGATCGATAATTATCGACATGAGCTAAATTCTTTTTTTATAACTCTAAAATTTATATTAGAATCGTATTACCGATTTCTTTCTTCCTCTTTAAAGATTGTTAAAAAAAAAAAAGCTTTAAGTTAATACTTAGAGACTTTCATAATACCCCATTTTAGCCATTCCCCAATCCCACAGGGTATTTAAGGAAAACATCGGTAAACTACGTAAAAAAAGACAAGCAGATAAAAAGAAATGCCCAAACAAACTGGAAAAACAACAGCAAACGAAAAATGTAAAATGTGCACGAACACAAAATATTTTAGAAAATCAAAATCAAACAACGCTGCGAGCTATAAGTGAAGTGAATCACTGAACAGAATGCAACGCCACATGCCCCATAAAAAACGAGGAGTAGAAGAAGAGAGTGAGAGAGTTAGAGAGAAAAGAGTGAGAGTTGAGGACACACAAACCATCAGTTGGATAGTAAACCAACACACACACACACACACACATACAATGGGTATAAGCTGCGTAAGAAACGGGCGAAAATCAATTGCTGGCTAGGGGCTATTTCCATATTTACGACTCGATTTACGCTTATGATTCGTTTAGTTAGCAGAGTCATCATTCACACTTTTATTGTCGAGCAGCAGGTGATGTCTAACGGTAGTATGAAGCGCTTTTTAATGGATGCGCAGTAAAATGAGCAGAGTTCAAAGTGCTTCAGCTACAGTCGGCTTCGGGTTGAGCCAAGTGAGGTGAAGTATGTGAAGCTAGGTTAAGTGATGTGCGGTTAGGTTGGGTTAGGTTAGGTTTAGGTAATGATTTCTTCAGAGAATTATGTATGAAATTATAAATGAGCTTATGAATCGATATCGATACAAATGTAAAAGCTTTGAATTGTTAATCGAGTTCATTAAAAGCTTTTTAAACATTTTCAACAGCTTTCAAAGTTGCTTGCAGGAAGTAACTACGAATATATGGAAATTTATATATAAATAAAATATTATAAATTTGCTTCACTGTTTTCATTCCTTAAATTTTCTTCAATATTTACAATTTTTGTGCATCGGTAATAAATATTAAATGATAATAAAAACAGCTTTAAAGCACGTTCAAGCTAATCCTTAAACATTTTTCAATTGCCATCAACATATATATATGTATGTATATACATATATTGCTTGGCAACCAGTTGACCTAACTAACCACAAGAGGTTGCAATTTTTTGTTGAAAAGCTCACGAAGCGAGCTTAAAATATGCCGCAATAATTTTAAGTTTTTACCACTTCATGCCACAAAACTATGCAAACCAAGCGGTGCATTGTATAAAAACCATTTTGATTGGGTTGCTTATGAATGCAGACAAATACGGATACATATGAATGCACTGTGATACCCTGTGAAAGGAAACAGTGAATAGGAACTTGAGCACTAGGTAGAGTAGAGAAATCGGACTCTACATATGAATAGAAACTCCGGTGTAATGCCCTGTAAAGAAAAATAATTGAGTGAAGGTAAAGATGGACTCAAGGAAACTGGGAAACGAGCAGAGCTAGAGTATGGGAAATTTTTATTTGGCTTGTGCTATTATAAATATAAAAGAAAACTTAAAGTACATCTCTAGTCTAAAGAACTAGTAACGTAGTAGACCTGGAGTATTGACAGTTGGTAATTGAATTCAAATACTAGAATTCTCAAATTAAAAAGAGATTTAATATAACCTAATATGTGTTATTCTAGTAGTAAATATTAGAAGAGGAAGATTATTAAAAAATATCTAAAATTATGATAAAAATCTGTTTATATATGATATACAATTCATGCTAAGAATAAAATATTCATGTTGATTTGTTGATTATTTCCTTTCCAAACTAATCATCCAGATTTTCCGCTTTGCTGCCGATTCGCTCTCTAGCTAGGCTATCTCTGAGTCGACTCAGCCTGGCTGCTCCGACTCGCTTTTGTTTTTTGTGGTTCCGCTGCTAAATGCTGCTTCAATTAGCTAGACAAAAGGAGGCAACAGGAGCCAAAGCAGCTGCTGGAGGTTGTTTTTCAACTTCCTTTTTTTTTTATTGTATTGTTGTTGTTGCAGTTGCTGCTGTTGCTGCTGCTGTTGGCCATTCATATTTACCATGCTCGTGCATTATGAACTGCTTCTAATCCGCTTAGCTCCATTGCAAAAACATTTCAATTAAAACAAAGCAGTCGCAGTCTAGAGCTGCTGCTGGTGTTGCAGCAGCTGTGGCAGCCACAGAGTGTGCCCCATTTTCTTCATTTTGGCCACAAACAACGGCAGCAGAATACCCCATTCAGGCAGCAGCAGAACAACAAGCACGAATACGAAAAACATGTCCATTCACTTCACTTCTTGGCCACAATAAGAAAGTAAAGCCCAAGCAGGAGTCGTGACATAAAAGAAACTCGAATTGATTGGCTTCAGCTGCTGAAGCCGGAATGAAAAGGCGCCTCCTAAGAGGACAATTTCGATTTCTGATTCCTGTGCAGGACGCACGAAGGCGAACGAGTTGGAGCAAGGAAGAGAGCGAGTGCAAGAGGGAGATAGAGTGAGATAAGCTTGTTGAAATTGCGCAACAGCTAACTGTAAAACCTCTTTGCAATATATTTTATGCACCAAGAAGTCTTCATCTCGATATTTTATACTCTCACTAGAGCTCGATAAAGCTGAGTGGAGATACTTGCTGAGCTGTAATGCTGAAAGGTGCAGAGTATTGGAAATTGACTTGGTTTATTGATGATAAGATAGAAGTTCTCATATATGTAAAATGTGATTTCCTCTGCTTGGATCTTCTCACACTTCGAGCTACACTTAATATTTATTCATTGATTGCTGTTTTACTGTTATTTAATATGTTATACCGCTTTAACCTTAGTAGCATATGTCCCCAACATTATTGGCAAAAATTACAAGAAATAGATTCGTCATTCTATTCCCATATTGTTTCATATAAATTAATAAAATAATTTGCCAGTTATATTTCAGGCCTTAAACTAACTTTAATACATTAAAGAGTAAAAATATACAAGTTGAAGTATATATAAATCTTATCTATATATAAATGTACATATATTTTTATACCATTATACAAATTATTTGTTAATTATATGGAGGAAAATTTTGTATAAAGGATCTCACTTAGAAGTTTCGGATCTTAACACGGCTATTTAATTGGATTTTTTTAAAGATTTTCTAAGCATTTTTCAGAGACTACGGCTTTCAGATTTAACTCGGCGTTTTAATGGAATTTTTTCTATAAATTTTCTATAGATGGTTTAGAGACTTGACTCGGCCATTTAGTTGGATTTTTTTCCACACATTTTCTATAGATTCCATATATATATATATATGATAAAATACATAGATTATAATTTTTTCTTAAAGCATCTAGAAACACCATTTTATTTCATGCTTTAAAATTGATCCATATTAAGACAGCCATATGAAGTACAAATTAAATACATTTAGAATTCCTAAAACGGAATTTTTACAACTCAAGTACAATAGAACATATACATGTATATAGAGAATTATAGATCATCATTCTCTATGGGCTCTATATAGAGCATCTACTAGTCGATCTATAGCATTCAAGTTATGCAGCTCAATTTCATTCATTCATTTTGTATATGCTCTATATAGAGCATCTACTAGTCGATCACATGCCTGCCGGACTGTATTCAAGTTATGCAGTTTATTTTGCGCACTCGTATTTCCGTTTCTGTCTCTCTCCCTCTCTCTCTTTCTGTGCTTATGCTTTTAGCATTCCAACAGCCACTACAGCAGTTCCCCTCGCCGACTCTTACAACAATAACAAATAAGAACTAAGAAACAACAATAAAAGCAAACTTGAGCTGCAAGTGGAACTCGAAAATCCGAGTTGCAAGCAGAAAAGTTGTTGTTAGTCATTGCGCATCTTTTGACGCAGCTAGCAAAAATATTTCGCTATTGTTTGATGCAATTTTTGTGTAGCTAGTTAGGGGTTGGGGAGGGATGCGAGCCGAACATGGGTGGCGGCGGTGTGTATGGCGAGGGGGGCAGTGCTCTCTATTGGCGCTGCAAAGTATGCAATGCTTTTGAGCTCTCGATCTGCGCAATTCAATTGCCGCATTTGCGGCCGTTCATGTCCGACAGCGCGCAATC